GGGCCACCCGGGGGGGGGGCCACCCCGCCGTCTCTGATAAGCAATTTGTGTACGAGCCGCTACACAGACGATCAGACCCGGTCAGCGCGTTCAGCGAGCAACCGCAGCGCTGAAAGGACCGGCTCCAAAATCGCAACTGGACGACGACGACGGAAAAGTGGACGCACGTCTGCGGTGAACAATCGCGGCACTGGAACGGAGGTCACGATTTCTTTTCTTTTGTTTTGTTTTGGTCCCGTGTTGATTGTTCTGGCAAAAGCAGCCAGGAAATAGCGACATGAATAAAACATGCGCTCACAAACACAAATTCGTTTGGTTGCGTTGGGCCAAAGCTCGCCGGCTCGTTATTTCAGGAGGTGATTGACACATGTTAATGAGATGCGTTACATCGGCTGTTTGATGCCAAGCACTCGTTTGATGTTTAAAAAAAAAACTAAGGAGACAAGAAAACTTGGGTTTGAACTTTTTGAAGGGAGTCCGGGGAGCGGTCCAAGCTCCACCAGAAGGCGTCCCACGGACACCGGCGGCGGCTTGAGTCTGCGCGAGGAGCGAGCGGGAGAAACAAAGGTGGGACGTTCCTTTCGTAGAGAACGAGAGATGCTCAAAGGCCGCAGCCAAATGCACGCGGACCGATCGATTCTTTGGATTGTTTTGTTTGCGAGGGGAGCGGACGACGCCGCGCTCTGCTGCGAAGCGCCGCCAGAGAGTCCGCACCAATTGAAATCAAAAGACCCCGTGAGCGGTGTGTGGCGTACAAGCGCGCCTCAATTAGCGCAACGGTTGCACAAACCACTGAGCTGGAAAAGAAGAACCGTGCCTCGACAAAGTTCATCTCGCTGACTTCTGAGTGACGCCGTCGAAAAAGAGGTCGGCGATTTTCAACTCACCAATAAACATTTTCAAGGGCGGTCGTATTCCAAACGACGCTTCGTTTATGACTTGGCCAAACGTTCAAAGGATTAAAAGAAACCACACGCACGCTTCCAAAGAATGCGGCGCGGCGCGGCGGGAGGCATTCCGAGCGACGGATGCGTCAAGGAGAACAGCGGCGCAAAAGACGCAAAAGAAGGAGAACAATTATTCCCAAAGGAAATTGTGGAAATAGAAACGACGCGCTGCCTCGACTGCACCGAGTTCAATTCATCTCGTGACGACGCTCGGAACTTAAAACGCTCGAGCGTCTTTCGCCATCGAACGAAATGGAAATGCTTTTCACCCGTTCCGCCCCGCACCAAACACATTTTTGGAACGGCTTGGTAATGCCTTCCCGAGAAGAAAATGTTTCATCTTCGCAGAGGATAAAGAACGCATGCCCGCGAGTATTGCTTTGCTGTCCGTGTTGCTCCCTGACTTGGTGTTATGACGCCGCAACTTCGATGCTCGTTTCCTTATCCCGTCCGCGTGTTAGCATGAAGCGAGACGCTTTTCACGTCAGCCAAAGTTACGCAAGAGTTTTCAATGTTGTACCTGTGTGCATTCCTTTTGTTTTAGGTTTAGTTTGACAGGAAACGTTCGCTGGGAGAGGCAACAAACAGCTTCAAGCAAGCACTTTTTTTTTTTTTTGGCCTACGCGTAGCCCTTAGCTCCGACGCTAACAGCCGAGCTCGAAATCTGACACGAACTCAATTTAAGTTGGCGTAAGGTGGAGTGAAGCCTAACCCTAGATGAACCCCATCGCCATGCTCCGGTGACGCTTTCCCAGTTTATTGCCGTCCACGCTCCAAAATGCGCCGCGCTCAAGTGTCAACGTACAGCACAACAAATGAGGCGGAATGCCTCCCCGGTGGGATGAGAAATCCTTGTTGTCTTAATTAAAGCCGCATCTGAAAGTCGAGCTTTAGCGTGGCCCGCTGCCGATGCGCGCAACACCTCTGGAGGGGGGGAAAAAAAACCCCACAAAAGCACTTTTTAAACTAATAATGATGCTTATTGTCCTTGTTAGTCAGCGAGAGTGTGAAATTTGGAGGAGAACTATGGGAGTTAAAAACAAAAACAAAACAAAACAAAAGCAAAAAACCCCCGGTCATGATCTGGAGAGAAGCCAACTGATTGGAGGTGCTCGTGACCGAAATCCAATCTGGGCTCCAGCGCCTGTGAGAACGCGAACGTTGTTGAAGCCCAACCCCAACGGCAATTAGTGGAGGTGGCGTTTCGCCCGACGCTTTATTTTATTTGAATGAAGCACACGATGCACTCATAATAGAACGCAACTTGACCATCACGCATATGTTGACCTTTCTGAAATATTTCACTCTTGGACTCCAACGTCTTCACTTTTGGCACGTCAATCTTTGACAGTGTTTATTGGGTTTTCTCTCTTGGAAAATTGAACCTCGCAAGAACCGGAACTTTTGTTTTTTTGTTTTTTTTTTTCTCCCCTTGTGGGAATACACCCGCACAAAGAAAATCAGCCAACTCTTCGTCAGATTCGCCGGGCTTAATGAAGTTGTATTTACAAAAGCTGTCTCGAAAAAGAACACTTTGTCACCCAACATACTTGTTGCCTTGCTCAAAGCCTTTTGCGTTCTTTTTGACTCGTGGGAAGGCAAGTTTTACCTTTGGTTTTGTTGTTGTTGTTATCATACTTTCAGTTAAGCGGCTGCGAGGTTTTTCTGTCGCCACACAAACCCGCCGTTGCTCTCCCTCGGCGGATTCTCAATCAACTCCGATCCACTTCGGGAAGGTTACGCTTGCGCTTTCAGATGCTTTGGATTTGATGTGGGGCAAACGTGGACAGGTTCTATCCCGCCCTGACTTCCCCTTCAAATTCAGTGTCGCCTTCAGAGAAAAATGAACTGCCAGTTTGGCTTGTCACAATGACACCCCCCCGCCCCCACCCCCAGGGGGCGTCCTTTACGGAAGCACTTAGGGCCAGCCCGTCCCACCGAGTGGCACCGCAGCTGCACGGAAGAATTCTTTGTGGGATTTGGTTGAATGGAAAATCCCGCTGGCTTTGGCTATTTGCATTTCTTTCTTTTTATCTTCGAACAAAAAGGCTTCGGGACAAATCCATACTTGGTCATCAATACTCGGCATGGTTTGGTTTTTTTTTTTTTACATTTTCAGTGAGCCCACCCACTTTTGTTATCATTCATCATGAAAGTCTTTCACGCACGCCGATCAAGCAGAATTGACGCAGCAAAGCGAGGACGGCGACAATGGCTTTCGACACGACGGGGCGGCAACAATGAATGTCACGCGTTTCGTTTCACGCCCCTCGCCTTTCTCCCTTCCTCACAGTCCAAAAAGCGGCGCAACGTTTGCACGGCAGCCACACACACACACACACACACACACACACACACACACACACGTCGCCGGCAATGACCGTTAGCAGGCATAGCAAAGTCTTTGTAGTCTCTCAAGTGTTCCGCCATTCTTCTCAGGACGCCTCTCGACTCCATTTCGCCATTGCTTGATTTGAATGATGAATGAGCGCACTGTTGCCCCAACAGTCGCACACTATTTTTAATCCTAAAATCCCCACAGGGAGGCAATTTTGTTTCCATTAAGGTAAAACGGCTTTGAAGAGAGAACAATGCACCGCTTTCATTTTTTTTTTTCTTGGAGGGGGGCATGGACCTACGGCCAACCAGGCAAACTACACACACACACACACACACACACACACACACACACACACGAAGAAAGGATCAAATGAGTCAAATAACACGGCGGCGTAAAGACATGGATGGAATAACGCATTAGCGGGGCTCCACGATGAATTTGCGGTGTGGCTCCGGACTGTCTTTGGCTTCCTTCTTGACGGCCTAAGCACTTCTCTTCATCGAGCGGCCTGGCCTGGCCCGGCCCGGCCCGGCTCACGTCATTCCTACTCATCGGGGCCAAACGGGAAATGAAACTGCCCTGGCATTTTTAGCAATACTTTCTGAGCTCATGAGGAACTCAATCGATTTTGTTGGCTTTCGTGGTCTGTGGAGGGCTAATCAAACTTTATCTGCGAGGATCAATGGCAAAAAGACAAGCGCGCGTGCGTCCCGTGCAATGTTACATGCGCATTCTATTGGCCGAAGCTGATCGGAAAAGAAAAAGAGCCCCCGCCCCCCCCAAACAAACCACTTCTTCCTAGTTTGCCACGATGAGCTTTGTGCCACTGATCTTTTGCTCGGCGTTCCCTGGAGCTCAACGGGATTTGCGCGTAATCCCGTCGAGCAGACGGGAGCAGATGGACCCGCGGGTCAGATCCCGGCGGTGTAGCGCAGGGGCTCTAATTGGCCCGCCCCCGAGTCGGCTTCGCTTGCTCGCCGTCTTTTCAATTAGGCATCGAGCGCATCGTCTGAATTCTGACGACGGAGTCGGACCGTCGGGGCAAACGCTTCTTTGAGCTGGCGAGCCTTCTGGTCCCGCCTCCTTGGCCAAGCGGGGCGGTCCAATTGCAGCCCTCCGGACGCACTGTGAATTCCCGCTGAAATATAATTGCTCGCTTTTTTGCAGAGGAAAAGGAAGCTATCCCCGGAAGGATTGTGACGTCATCCAGCTGTCTTTGTTTTGACGTGCTTGAATCGGACTTCATGTCCAGCACTTTGTATTTTCAAAGCGCCATTCGTTGCACCTGTCTGTGGCGTCTTCGATTTGCCGTGAGCACGGAGCTAGTCGGGGCACTGGGAAGGCAAAGTGCTTGATTTTCACCTGCAATCACCACGTGACTGCACATGCTTCTTGCCTTGCAGTACATTTAAGACCGACTCTGCCGCCTCTCTCGCTCTCTCACTCCCCCCCCCCCCGGCTCCGGTTGCCAAAGCGGAGGGAGAACACAAGAAGAGGTGTACTGTTACGCCGCCACAGAGCTCACGTATCTCCGCGCGCGGGCGATTTTCCACGCAAACCAAAAGACGCCTGTTCATCCGCACGGTGGGAAGGCGACACCGCTCGTCTTTTTCCTCGAGGAGTCGCGAAGCCCCCCGTCCCCTTCGCCCCGCTGGCGCAGGCGCGTCCGGATGAGTTACGTGGATGTCATTTTAGCCGGACCGTTTTCCCGGATGTCGCGGCGACCGAGCGCGGAAAAGTGGATGTTCGGCCCACGGCCGCGACGCGGAGGATAACGCGGTGAGTGCGGCTGCGGCGGGAACGCGCGTTCCGAGCGCTGGCTTCCAAGATGGGAGACGTGCGAGCGATTGCAGCCGAAAGTCACGGCAAGTGGGGATCGGGGTCTGACGAGAGCTCGCTCCCAAAAAGTCCGATGATGACAGTTACGCTTTTCCACTCCGATTCTCCCGGTTCGCTTTGGCGTACGGGGAACAAAAGCCCACTCGGCGTATTTTTTTTTTCCTCTCTTTCTCCCAATGGCCGCCGCGCGTGCGTTTTCAACAAGTAAGCGAGCGGGGGTGCGCCGGGCACGCGAACGCAAGCCGGTTACCTGCCGGCAGCCGGTGCCTCGGATTAGGAAGGGAGGGAGAGTCATCCGATTAGCTCAATGAAGGCAAGCTGTCGCCGCCTCCTGCTCCCTCCAACAGAGGGAGAAAGTCAAAGGTTGCCGGCGGGGGGGGAGGTGGGAGCCGGGCGCCGCTGTGCTACGCAGAAAAAAAAAAAAAAAAAAAAAAACGATCAAATGTCACATTGCCCCGAGATGGCTCCGGAGATCGGCGGCTCGCTCAGACGGCCGACTGAGTCCAACCCCGTTGGACTCGAGCGAACTGGCCTCGCCGAGCGCATCGGTTGGAGCGCTTGTCAAGCGATGACGGGCCGCACAGAGATAGATACTATCGATCGATTGATGAGCAACTCCATTCATTCATATTAAGCGTTGATGTAGCGTTAGATGGCAATCGATTGGCTGATTTCAACTTCCGGACGGGTAAAAAGGCCCATAGAAGGATCAATTAACCAAGAATCGGCTCGTGTCATCGCTCGGGCTGATTGATTTACTGATTGATTGTCAATCCATGGATCGAGAACCTATTTTAGATTGAGTCCTAGACGGACGGGCGGATCGGTGGCAGCTCAATCGATCCATTGACCGAGTTCGGGTCGGGTCGATCGCGACCTATTAACCGAGAGATCTTGAGTTCGAGACGATGGCTCGCTACGTCGCGCAACCGACTGACTGATTGATTGATTAATTGCTCGTGAGAAGAGGCTGTTTGGGCAGAGAGATCGGCTTGATCGATCGATCGGCGAACAGATAGCTTGTTCAACCAATTATTTGAAGTGACGTGAGGCATTGATGGATGGCTGGAGAGCCAGGAAGGCAGGTTCATCCGATTGATCGACAAATTCATTCATTCCATCTCATGGACAGGCAGCTTGATTCATTGAATGCACGAGTTTGTATTTTGGATTTATCGGCCGGATAGTGGGAGAGACGGCGGGTTTGATTGGTGGGGCGCAAGTGGGCGGGGCTAAGGCGCAACGAGGTTTCAGCGCGAATAAAATAGCAACTGGAAAATCAGCAGTTCTGACCTGGAAGATGATTTCTGACGTGGCCTCTTGCGCAGCCAATCGGCGCGCGGGCGCGTGGGCGGAGGGTCGATCACACGCAATGTGTTTGTCCGAGCTGGCGCGCGGCCACGTCCTCGGCATGCCAAAAGCCCGTTGGTCATGCCGGATGACGGAAGCGGCGGGCGGCTTTGCGGTTGAAACGGCGGCCGCTGCCCGAGCGCTTCGAATGACGCCGCCCAAGGAAAAGGAAAGTCAAAGCTTTTTGGGGTTTTTTTTTTTGCATTCCCGATCAGGCTCCGATCCGAGCACGCAATCATCTTTTTCGCGACAATTAGGCTTCAGTTTTTGTCTCCGCTCTAATCAGGACAACAAACACTCTTAATCATACCATGAAGTGCGCTTAAGTTTTGGATTTCTGGAAAGTGACACGAGTCCTATCATTTGTTTCCCAATTGCTTGTGTAGGATTGGCATTCAAGCGCATCCGACTGAATTTCAGGTCATTCGCAGCGTACGTATATCCTCATTAGCACACGAAATGAGATAAGGCCCACGGCAGGACGGGAACGCAAATTCGACTAATTAGCCGTCCACCCTTTGCGAAAATGGCAACTATTTCATTTTTATGGCGGCAAAAGAGATCGCCGGACGGTGTCCGGGGTGCGCCGATTGCATAAAATGACGGCGTTCCGATGAGCTACGATTGCCGCCGCCTTCCGAGGGACGAACTCGATCTCGCCTCTTTGACGCGCCAAATTCTTCAAAAATCTTTTTTCAAGTGCCGCGCTTTTGCTGGCGGGCGGCGTGAGGGGCCCGCTTCCTTTCCCCTTCCCCCCGCCCTCGACCGGCGTCGCGCTCCGTGACGGCTGCCGACTCGCACGCGCGCGCTGATTAACAAAGCCTTTCCTCGCTTGCACTTAACCGCCGGCCGCGCTCACTTCTCATCAGCCTCGTGACGCTCCGACACGATGTTCAACAAGACTGAATAGCAGCCATTAGCGAAGTTTACTGGGATGGAAAATTCTGGGAGCAAACACAAATTGAATCATACGTCACTGACATGTTGTTAGCATCAAGCTAAGCGGACTTGGGTAATGCTTCATTTGTTTCATTGGTCTCAAAAGCCGCACTTCCACTTTCCATACAATGTGAAGATCAACACGGCGCTTTGCCACCGGTCCGGGCGCCCGCTCATAAATGTGACTAACGGCAAGTGAGGCCACTTTACGGCTGAGAGCGGAAATAGATGACACTGACGTGACGATTATTAAGGGGGGGGGGGGGGCGCTTGGCACATTGAAGCTCAAACGCTTCCACAAACCTTTGAGGCAGCAGCAGACTGAATTGCCGTTCAGTGAAAGTGCATTCGAGGCCGACTGCATTTTCATCTTTAACGTTCCGAATTTGGGGAAGGCGGGGTCCCCCCCCCCCCCCTCTGCTCCTCTCAACATTCAATGTGAAAGAGTGAGGGAGAGAGTGAGCGAGCGACACCGTGCCTGGCATCGTGGCACCCTTCCTTACCTCTGGAGAAATCACTATCAAACACAAAATGTAGAAGCATGAGTTCAGGACTTTTAACGTGATGCCATCTTGCCTCAGGACTCTTTTTCCAAATTGTATTTTCTTGACTTTTTTTTGGAGGGGGGGGGGGTAGCATATTTTGCAATCTGCACACCTCCGGGTGCCTGACTCACATACTAACGACCCTCAAGTGCCTGATGAGCAACGCGAGGCTTCCTTTTTTGCTTTGTTTTTTTGGGCCGAGTCCATTTAGGAAGCCTTTATCTCCCCGCCTCCAAAGAGCTCGTTCATCAAACACTTTGCGGTTATAAGTTGTACGTCGTCGTCGTGCCGTTGACGGATTATTAGACGCCGCGATGCTTTTAGCCGGACATTGTTTGCTTGTTTCCCTTCAGGTTGACAGATACAAACAGAAGCGTGAAGTATTTGGCGCATTAAAATACAGCACGGCAAGAGCGCGTTTGTCGGAAATTGATATGCAAATAGTGACAAGTTTTGGGATGCGTGACTTGAATGAATAAGAGAAGCTAGATAACAAAAAAAAAACCCAAGCGCATAACACAGCGATCCCTCCTTCTTAAGACTGACCCGAGGTTTTTGAGAGACATTTTTGGAGCGACGACGCACTTATTTGAATTCCCTTCTTCATGTATTTCTATCCAAATGACCTTCATACTCCACACTTTGAAGTCTCGATCCTCTTTGCGCGTGTCGCTTTCGACAGCTCACGCGAAAGATTGGATTTACATTCGACAAAAACAAACAAGTTCATTGTCCCTAACAAGATGATGCGCCCGGCGGCCAAAACGCGGGCGGGAATCCGCATATCTGGCAACCCGAGCAGGAGGAGAAGCACCGAGGCAAATCGGCCAAACTTATTTCCGCGTCTCGTGACGACCGTTTCATTCGCTGCCGGCGATTTCCAATTGTACAGCCACTTTGGACCCTCGCGAGCAAAAAGGAAGACATCAGATGCGCGCAAATCTTTTCTTCATTTATCCACTCCCAAAAGCAAATACAAAGACGGAACAATGAAGCGATACGATACGCTGCCGTAGCCCCGGACCTGACCTTCCAAAATCTCGAAAGCCGGTCAACAATTTGCGGCGAGCCATTTTTTTGGAAATAAAAAGTGCGTTTGAATCCAGGCGGGAGATTCAAGGAGCACCGTTTTAATCCGTTGCGCTCAAAAGTTGCGAGCGGCTGCCCCACTTTATATATCCTAAGTCGCTTTCTTTCTGATCGGCGCCTCCCCCAACACATCTCCAGTCCCGGACCCCAACAAAGAAGAAATCGACATTACTCGACGATTCGGTGTGGCTAGGAAACCAAAGTTTATTCATCGTTTATTTATCCGAGAAGCTCAAAGGGAATCGCACGGCCACACTTTACAAAGATCAATGACATCGACCAAGGAGAACGGGAGGGGGAAAATATTTCGGAAAGAAGCGGCAAGAAAACAGGCAAAAATCCAGATGGCCGAGAATACGTCAGTGTCACGTGCAAAAATAAAAAGAAAGAAATGCATAAAAGTACGATACTACATATGAAAACCTGATGTGCCTGGACACACAAAAAAAGAAGAAAACAAGGGCGGGTTCAGAATCAGCAGAGAAAAACATCTCGAAAAGTTGACTTGTACCTCAGCTAATTCTACAAACTAAAAAAAAAAAAAGAAAAGTGTACTTTTATGATCGCCATTAGTGAGAGCAAGTTATACGGATAGAGAAACTGCCGCGTCCATGACGTCACTCGCTGGGTCCCGCCTCTTTACAGGCGTACCGCTCGGATGCGTCGAGGCACCACTGTATTTTCAGTCTGCGTTTTGTCCCCTTCTCTCTTGCTTTCAACCCTCGAAACAGATTTCTTTATCTGTGTCGACGTTCCCAGAACCGTACTGAGAATGTCAGGTTAGTTTTCTTTGGAGCGCATATTTATCTATCTATCTATCTATTTATTTATTTATTTCTGAAGTAAAAGTACAAGTAGTAAAGACTTTTACTCACACACATCACATTCAGGATTTCCACTCCAGATAGTAAGCAAAGTAATAAAACGCCAGTTGTTACTGAGTGTGTGTGTGTGTGTGTGTGTGTGTTTTAACTTCATGGGAGAAGGCATCAACGTTTATCTCTGCAGGCAGGACACACTGCAATTGCGGGCATGTGTTGAGTTGTGTGAGTGAGAGGGAGACGGTCAAGCCAACGGTGTGTTGGTAGTGTCAAGTTTTGCCCTTGGCTGTGTGCGCCTCTGTCTGTGTGAGTGTATGTGTGTGTGTGTGTGTGTGTGTGTGTGTGTGTGAGGGCGATTACAGCGGCCGGTGCCAACTTCAAAGTGCCGATTGGCGCTGTGCCAGGTCAGCATGTTTACACGGGGGAATGCAGAGTTGCAACACACACGCTCACAACACAAATGGCCCCGAGTGCATCGGTCTTATCAGCGATCCCCGCGAGGGAGGCGAAGCGTTTAATCAGAGTCGACTGGCAGCTCTCGGCATCGGCCCGATTCCGCTCGCCCAGTGCCGAGAAGCTTTAGCCGGCCCGAGATTGCTCGCCGCCCCGGAAATGTCGACATGTTCAAACAAATACGCGGCGCTCCGCGGCCACGCAAACAAATTCTGCCCGAGAAGGTATGGCAACCTTGAATGTAATCTAACCCCAGCTGCCGCCAAGCTCTTTTCAACGAACGTGAGGATGTGGAGAAACATCCACGGTATGCGTTTGTCTCAAAATAGCAAATGAACCACATCTGGGGAGACATCGTACGGCGCCTGGCCAAAGAGCGCGACCGCAGTTGGACATTCTCGCACACATTCCGTATTTCTTTGACATTTCTCGCACAAGGTGGCTCAACTGTGATTTCCAGACGACGGCGGGCCTCGGAATTGACACGAAGTGAATTTGGGATCTTTTTGAGGCCTCAGATTTTGACCAAGCGCACCCGCTGGACGACATGCTAATTCCTCCAAGTGGAACAAATCCAATTGGAAACGCCGCGGAAGTCCCCTCAACCGACCCGACGCGGCAGCTCAGTTAAATCTTTCATTCTGGCGGCGGTTTGGAATCGTTTATCGACGGAGCAATTCAAGACGCGTTCTTGGCGAGAGCAAAACAAAGATTTCGGGGTCCTGGCAATTTGACGCCTCATTGCATCATTTCTGAGCTGGGAAGACGCGTGATATCGCCATCGGCGCGGTTGCGGTCGCTTTTCCATGCTTGTATGGGGCGTTGGGCCACGCGGCTCTTTTTTTGGCATGCGTTCGGACGCGATCTTTTCGCCCACCTTTGCATCCGACGCCGCCGGTGAAGCGGCGCCCGCCGCATCTGCGTTTTTGTTCATCGCGCCTCGTGCGGTCGAGCAATAAGCCCGGTTGCGTTTGGAAAAGAAGAGCGCTTGGAGGCGGGCGCGTGGAAATGCCACAAATTGCTGAAATTATTCGGCGCCGCTTCAAGTGGCGTAAACAGTGACAAGTGTCGGCTCTGTTGACACCAAGCCGTCGCGTTGCCAATTTCGATTCCGGCTGTTGAGAATATTCCAATTACTGCCCAAGTGCGTCGAGAGGGCGAGGTGACCTCCTGGGAAATAGTCGGCAAAGTTAACGATGAGGCATACGAAGAGGATGGACATGCAACGGCGGCCGCCTTTTCACTTTGAGCTCAATTCCCTCGGCCACTTGTGACGTTAAAAATGTTTTTTCTTCCTCCTCCCCGCGCAGCTGGGCGCTCGGCAGAGGGAGCTGGTGAAGATGCTCTTCGTGGGACCGCCGTCACACGCCGGGGTCAAACGGCCCGGGACAACGCCAATCGGAGGCGCTTATCAGCTGCTCTCGCTGCTGCTGCTGCTGCTATCAACTTGTCGGGCCCAAGACACTGACGGTAAGCATATTTTCTCCAGATGATGGCCCTGTCCACTGAATTTCGAGAGTTGTGGCTAAATATATTGCACATGACAATTGCCGAAAAAGAGTTGCCGTTTGGAACGCCTCGTCGTTGGCCACAAGTGCGCGGAGAGGAGGCGGATGAGCGAGGGGAGAAAAGGTTGGTCTCACCAACCATTAATTCCCAGCTCCTCTCAATGTTGAGTGGATCCACCTCAAGTTAGTGCCAATTGACGGGGCCTTTTAAAAAAACTGTCAGTGTGGCACCCACTCACACAAAACTCTCCTTCCCGAGGCCGAGCGAACCGGCTAGCTTAGCTTTTCCTGCGGCAAAAACGCAAGAAGCCCGAAACGTGTTGGAGCGAGAGGCAGATGGCGCGCGGCAGAAGACGCAGACGAGACGCTTCCGAGCGCGGGCGAGCCGAGAGTTGACTTGCAGCTCAAAGATTCAAACGCTTGAATTGGGCTAGCAAATAAGCATCTGCGCTTTTGGAAGCGCCATTGTTTACCGCGCGCATCACTCGCTTGGCTCACTGCTGTCGCCGGCTGTCAATTGGCGCCAGCGTGACTTGGATTCGCATCGCCTGCGCGCCGCACAATGCCGCCTTGCGCAAATGCGAGTGCGCGTCCGTTCGCCGGCCGCAGACTTTCTCAAACCTCAAGGGCCTCGTCGTCACGGCCACCTCGCTGTCTTCCACTGGTCTTTGTCCTCACCGAGAGCTTTTTGGCAAGCCCGTTCCCACCTGCCAAGTGGACACGGGCGGCATTCCCATCTTAAATCGAGATTCGACAACAGAGAGCCGGTGTGACGCATCTAAAAAAAAAAACGCAGGGCCCAAGGCCTTCCGACATCCCTTCTTTCTGAACTGTGGGCAACGCCTTGAAAACGAGCCCCGATTGCCTCTCTGCGGAGCGTTTCATCAGCCTGACAGAAACCTGGCGTCAGAAGGATTTATTCAATTTGCCTCGCACAAAGTCATTTCACTGTTTTTTTTTTTTTTTAGAATAAGCGGAATAAATGATGGGTGAAAATGCCACTTATTTTTGGTATACACAGCGGTGCAGCAAATAGTAATTGCACGAGTGCGCGCACCCTCCTCACTGGGGATGTGGCCTGAAAGGTTTCTGCCATGGCCGAGGCCTCAAAAAGCAGCGGCGGAAGCGGAAAGCAATGACCTGCAGATCAAACTTTTGACCTCCACTAACTCGACTGGGAGTCCTTTGAAATGAATCGCTCCGTTGCTTTGCCGAAGGTTCCGGCATCCGAATTCATTTGACTGCTCGGGCGCGCGACCGATGCTAATTTGACCCCAGATATGCGAAAGAATCATCCGTCGGCGGGCTTGAATATCGCTATATCGCTAATAATCAGGCCGCTGCACTCGACCCCTGTGAAGAATCCCCTTTGATGAGATTTGCCCAGAAGTCGGCTTCATTCGACCGTCAGCGCGTGATTTAATTTGCCGCGTCCTATCCGCGCTCATCTCCTCGCCATTGCGTCGCCGGCGGGCGCTTTCTCCGATCGCGTCGAAAAGACGGCCACGGACCTCTTTCAAAGGACGCCTGCGTAGGCCTTCACGGTAGTCGAGAAAGCAACTCATTTCGCCGTGCGATCTCATCGTGTTGGGGCGTCACTCCAGACTGATCCACTTTCATTCCATTTACTGGGGGATGGCTGCGCAAGCCAAATTGGGTGACAAGTAAAAGCTGGCAGACAGATTACAAAAGGCAGGAGGAAGACCGGCGTGCGCCGCCGCCGCCCTCCTCCCCCCCCCCAAAATACAGCAAACTCCCCCATGCGGAACAAGTGGATGCTTGGTAAGAGATGAGGGGCAACGAGCCAGTGGAGCAGGAGATGCGCGTCTGTCACGCACACGCGCTCCCAAACAAAAGCCAGCTGCTCCGGTAACCCGTGCCGGTCGTTACGTCGCGATGCGCAATTTACGAAAGCTTGAAAGGAGCGAGACGGAAAATTCTCTCGCAGCATTTGAGTCTCAAGGGTCGCGCGCGTTCCCGATGTCGACAACGTGGCCTTTAAAGATCGAAACCGAGGCGGAAAGAAGGCCGTGTCAATGTTGCGCATTTGGAACACGCATGTTTTCATCATCTCAAAAGCACTCGCAGCCTGACGATTTATTCCGAATTTTCCCTCCCCCTTTTTTGTTTTTTTTTTCATCTGAATTTTCTTGAAACTTTCCTTCATCTGTCCTTTTCTCCCTCCCGGCGGTCTTGTGCTGCAGACTGGCAATATGAGGGTGAGAACTATTTCCACTTTTCCTCCTCCCCATAAATGTGGTGTCTGCGTGACCCCGTAAAACCTGCGACAATTCGTTGAAAAAGTGGAACGGGCTGCACTCATCCAATGCTATTGACTTTGCTCACGCTGATCTCTTTTTGTCTCTCTCAGAATGTAAACTTTCTCGATCGGGCCCTCCTGCTACCATCGTCGCCATAGACGAGGAGAGTCCCAACGGTAAGGCGTTCTCCTGGAGTGACGGCCGCTTGCTTCGAGATGGCGCGAGAGCAACCGCTTTCGCGACGGTCCTCGCCCCCGACTTTGAGCAAACACGGCGAGGAGATCTGGCCTTTACTTTGTCGTTTCGAAATACGGCGCGGTCAAATTTGACTCGCTGCAGTTTTGCCGCGCTGCGTCTTGCGGAGCGGACGCCTCGCCAATCATTGCGCTTTGCCTCTTTCTTTTTTTTTTCCAGGAACGTTGTTGGTGGAGAACATGCAAATCAACGGCGTGGCGGAGGGTCCGGAGCGGACCATCTCCCTGTCTCTGAGGGACAACCACAACCGCTGGGTGATTCTGGACCCTTCCAAACAAGCCCTCTACCTCAGCAGCACCGGACGCGTTCTGGACAGAGACGTAAGTCGGCGAACGTCATCCGTTTGGACTGCTGTGGCACGATTGCCAAAGTGAGAAGAAAAAAGAAAAAACAACCCCGTGGCTCTCGCCTTTTGTTTCGCAGCCTCCCTCGTACATTCAGTCCATTGTGGTTCAGGTGCAGTGTACCAACGAGCTGGTCGGCACGGTGATACTACACGAGGTCCGAATCGTGGTGCGCGATCGCAACGACAACGGGCCGCGTTTCCAGCGGCCCAGATACTACGTGGCCGTGAGCGAGGTAACGCGGCGCGCGCCCAGCGGACGCCGGCAAATTGCTCAGCACGAAGCGGAAGTGAAAAGGTCCAAACGGACGGGGCCCGCGCGTTGCGCTTTTCCAGCGCGTGTCCAACTCCATCTGTCCCGTCGAGACTCCCCCTAACCCCGGCCCATCGACATCCCCTGTTTTTTGCATCACCCTAACTCCCCCCACCCTCCCCTCCTGTCACCTTTTCTCACCCTCGCAGGCCGTCCTCCCTCCGCCACGCTTGCTATACATCCCGCCGTCCTCCCCCCTCCTCATCGTCACTCCCGGCAAAACGCGCCCCTTCAATCATCTGCCACAACATTACGAGAGGAGCGTCGCGATTCAAATATGCCTCGGCTCCACGCCGGGCGGTGCTCAATGCGGTCGGCGCGGCCGTGATATCGTCAAGAAGGAATACGTCGGCTCCCGCGCCGGCACTTGTGTCAAACGACGCACTGGGGCACGACAAGCGCTGCGGACTGAGACGCGCCGCTCATTTATGAGAACATCAAAGGGGGAGTCGACGACATCCGTTTGGGGCGAGAGGTCTCGATGTGGCCTCGCTGCTTCGGGGAGTTTTGGGAGGCCTCCAGCCACGCTCCAAACCATAAGAATCACGATGTCGTCACCAAATAGATTCAATCGCACGTTTCTCATGCCGTTTGGAGATTCATTCGGGCACGGCTCTACAAAGCCCTTGGCTGCTAGAAACGAAAAAAACAACAAACAAAGAAAAAGGGAGCACTCTTGGCAACATTTTATCTTTCATGTTCTGTGGCAAGCGTTCAACTTGAAGAGACTTTTTCCTCTACAATAAAAGCCAAGTCAACATTTCTGGGAAGCGGGGGGGTGGGGGGGGGGCTCTCCTGCTGAGACTCTCCTGTGATCTTAATTGCAAATTCGGAAACGACTTCAGTTAGTTTCTGCCAAAGCGCAAACTAAAAAATGGCTCCACACACACACACACACACACACTGGACTCAATTGAATTTCTGGAGCACTTTGAAAGAGCCGTCGCTGCATCCAAAGTGCTGTACACGGAGCAACTAACATACGCAACAATAAAGCAATAAATCGGTCACCAAGATGGTAGAAGGCACCAAATGGTCAAACGAAGATCAAATCCGAGTCATGCTGAGTCAAATGGCAAAAGGGTACAAGTGAGTTTTGGGGCGGGTACGGGAGAAGGTCTTTTCTCTGATTGGTCGGTCCCGGCTGGGCCTTACTCGTGTGACGGAAAGGACCACATTGGGACAATCCCATTTGGAGAATGGCCTTTTTTCTTGGACGTGGCGGTCACTCGCCTTGGTTTAGCGCCGACTGAATTGGGAATCGCGATCCAATGGGCTCGGCCCCGACGGCCGCCTTCGGGGCACGAGCCGGATGACAAACGTTTGTCGTGCTTTCAGTTGACCCCGGTGGGCACCACCATCTTCTCCGGCTTTTCGGGCAACAACGGAGCCACCGACATCGACGACGGTCCAAACGGCCAGATAGAATACACCGTCCAGTCCAACCCCAGAGACCCGGTGAGTTCTCAACCGGGCCGTTCATTCGTCAGCAAAAATGCATTTCATGAGAACAAGCTGAAAGTGACATCGCAGCACCTGCGTTTGTTTGTGCCGCCTAAGTGACCCGCGTTTCAAAAATCAAAGGTGACAATCACGCGTTTTTCAAAATGACCCGCGAGGGCGCACGCCGCAACTTTTTTCTCTTTGAATCAACTTTTCAAAGATCCGCCGATGATTCCGATCGCGCCGCGTCTGTTATTTTCTCTCTCTTTGCCATTTTCAGCCCCGCAGCACATGGGAAAGCCGTCGATTTAATTTTGAGGCTCCCGAGCAAAAGTTCATGGGCCGCATAGAAACGCCACGCGGCCCCGAATGGCCTTGAAGACGGCGGCGTCTGCGACGGACGGCTCTCGTGTGTCATTCGCAGAACGTCAACGTGCGTTTTGTGTCCCTTCAGACGGCCAACGGAACCTTTGACATCCCGCTGACGTTGTTCGGCGCCGTGGTGCTCAGAGAACGCCTCAACTACGAGGACAAAACGCGCTACCTGGTCGTCATACGGGCTAACGTGAGTGGCGGCGAGAGGACGCGAGAAGGGATCGAAGCGCCGCCGCCCGCGGTCAGAACGGTGAAGAGTTGCGACCGATGGTGCGAATGTCGCTCCTCGCAGGACCGAGCGCCCAACCCCGGCGAGCGGCGCACGGCCACCGCCACGCTGACCGTGGACGTCCTGGACGGCGACGACCTGGGGCCCGTGTTCCTGCCGTGCGCGCCGGTGGGCCGCACGCGCGACTGCAGCCCCGTCACCTACAAGTCCAACGTGCTGGAGCTGACCGAGCCGGTAAGGGACGCGACGCCACTCGAATTGACCTTTTGGCTTTGGCCTTTCATTTCCAGCCTTTTGACGGCCCCGAGTCACCGTAACCTGTCACTGTGCTCGACCGACGCGCTGGCGCACACCAGATGCGTTGCCCATGATGGCTGGCAAACCGACTGCCAACGGCGCCTTTGCTATCTCGCGGCAACATTTTGCGGCTTGAGGCGATTGGGGGGGAGGGCTTGCTTCCGCTGGGGTTTGCTGCGGCGATTGCGCAGGGCTCAGCAGATTGCGCCCGTATAAGACATGATGACTCTTGGGCCGTTTAATCGGTTTTCTCTCTCTCTCTCTCTCTCTCTCTCTCTCTCTCTCATTGATGTTTCCAGATGTCGTATTTTCAGTCTCGGTTTGTCGAGCTGCATTTGAATCCATTTACCAGAAATGGATTTTTCTTGTTTTCCTCTCAACTCAGAGCTTTTCTTCCGGTGTATTTCTATCCCAATCTTAGAAAAACGGATCTATTAGCTCACGGCCCTTTTTTCATCTGTACAACGACAGAGCAGCACTCCGACCCCGGCTCATTGAGCACAATCGCAACACATTTCGACGCATTGTGGATTCTTTCGCCTCAGCGAGGAATTGAACCGTCTATACTGTACAAAACATCCCTATGTAGTACATGCGTGGACACACACACACACACACACACAGAAAGACATCTAACTCTATCTAATAAAAGCAATTGTGTTGTCTCTAGAATAAGGTGAACCCCCTCAATGTGACTCCGCCCATTCAGGCCGTGGATCAAGACAAGAACATTCAACCGCCATCGGACAGGCCGGGAATTCTGTACTCCATCCTCATTGGTGGGTTGAAAAAAAAAAAAAAAAACAACAACAATGTCCTAGAATGGCCCGTCATGAATGAAAGTCTCTCAGTTTGTATTTTCGATGTATTTGCCGTCATTGTGCCTCCATTAACATTAACAAGACCCAGATGCCAAGATGGCAGGTCGATTCTGCAGATGACCCGACCCGGAAGTCGTCTGAGCCCCAACAAATCTTTGGGCTTTCCTTCCCGGCTGCCAATGCGCAAACGTCTCGAAAATGGACCGACGCCTTGCATTTCCTACAAAGCGAAACAAATCCCCGTCTGAGGCAGGATTGGGAGAGACAAAGTCACAAATACAACGTCAGGGAAAAAAAACAAAAAACAAAAAAGCACCTCCTGCAACGTGGTGGCGACGCCGCAGTCGACTATTTGAGCGCGGGCGAATGAGTAAAAGGACTCGTTTTGGGGTTATCTGACGCTTCCTTCTTATTGGTAGTCAGCAGCAGGCCGCGGCCGGCCCGCTGACACGTCAATTCAAACGTTGAAGTCATGCGGTCGATGACTTGACACAAGCGCGGCTTCAAGTTTTCATTCTCACTGACATTTGCCGTTCAATTGATTTGATTTTTCTCTCTGACAAGACGCATTGATTTGAAACATCTCGGGGGGGGGGGGGGGGGTGCATTAATACCTCGTAAATGTCAGTTGCGTTTGGTTCGGTGGCACAGACAAGGCCAGAACGATTATTGACACAGTTGAAATGTTTCGGAGGGGAGGGCTTTGCGCTGTGAACAAACTTTTTTTTTTTTTTTTTTCTTCCCTTGACCAAGAAACCAGGGACGACGAGGCCACAGCTCAACAGGGTCTCGCTCTTTCTTGGAGGGCGACGTCAAATAAATCCAAGCTATGGAGACGCAGAGCGATGCCGCATTTGCAAAGTAGCGCCTACGTCTTACGAGTGTCCGCGTCCCACCTGCGGAGAGCCGCGTTCAGCGCAACCACCCCACTAACTCCGCCCACCTTTAATACTCTGCAGCAAGACTTTGACGGCACAAACATTTCTTGATGTTTAAACCGGTGACTTTTTAGCTTTGTTTTGTTTTTTTGTTTTTTTTTTCTTTCCTCCACTCACAGGCAAACCAGAATCCTACGCAGAATATTTCAGCTTGAACAGAACCACCGCTGAGCTCTCGCTGCGGAAGCCCGTCGACAGAGAACTGTGCCGCAAATTCGATCTGATTGTGAAGGTGAGAGACGGTTTTGCGCATCGGAAGACCGGGGCTACGCATACCGTACGGCGTGTCCTTTTCACATGGCTGCCAACACGGCACTTGGTGTCAACTAGGATTTGAAAGCTCAACACGGATCCTGCCCCCCTCCCCAAAATAAAAAGAAGGACATCTCCTTTGAGGGCATCGTCACAACTGTGGCGCGCGTTGAGATCCATTCGCATGAATCCCAGTGCAGCATGAAGTGGACGAGAGCATATTTGCCAGTGCCCCCCCTTTCTGGGTTGTAGGCCGAGCAGGATAACGGGCACCCGTTGCCGGCTTTCGCCAGCCTCCAGATCGAAGTGCTGGACGAGAACAACCAGGCGCCGTACTTCCTGGAGAGCAGTTACCACGGCTACGTGGCGGAGGGCTCGCCGGTGGGAACCAGCGTCGCCGCCGACGCCGGCCTGTCGGAGCCTTTGGCCGTGGTGGCGCTGGATAACGACGTGGAGGAGGTGAGCTCGCGCTCGAGCGCGGGCACCGAGAGCCGCTTTCATGATTTTCGCACCGATGCTCGCAGGCTTATTGGATGGGAAGTAGCCCCCGACAGGTGTCCGCTTCTTTGAAATATTGCTGACTCGTTGGCTTTTCTCCGGCGCTAAGGAGCAACACGATCACGGCCGGCGCTTTTCCGTGCGCGCTCACTAATCACATGGAGTCGGTCACGAGAGTCTCCGATGGAGCCTTGATTATTGGCGTCTAGTCACGACTTAGTTTCTCATCAGGGATCGAGATCCCGGGCGCTCATCGAGGCGTTCGCGCTTCCTGAAGTGGTTGCTAATTGTCCCCTACGTCTCCGTCCTTCTACCAGAGCAGGGATCCTCAGCTGCAACTGTCTTTGGACGGCTACTCCGACGTGTTTGCCGTGTCGCCCGGTGGAATCGCAAGATACTTGACTCTCGCGCGGCCGTTGGATCGAGAGGCGCGGGACACGTACACCTTCACGGTAAGCGTCAGAGCGCGACACCCATGTCCGATACGGTCATCCGAGATGTCGGCCGACAGTGTCGCCCGAGTCACTCCCGTACTTTAGCGATGACGAGTCCCATTCAACGGACGCGGATGCATTCTAGCGCCCTCTACTGGCCGGCCGCCGCCGAGAGTCATGCCGATTATCGACCGTATGAATGCCTTCTTTTCGGCCTCGAGGCGTACGCGGCGATTGTTCTGTCCCGAGCGAAACGGAAGCGTTGCCGTCCTTTTGTCGTCGCAGCTGCGAGCGTCAGACGGCGTTCAGCGGAGCGCTCCGGTCGCCGTGACCGTCACCGTGCTGGACGAAAACGACAACACGCCGACGTTCGCGAACCTGTCCTATCACGTCCACGTGTACACCGACGCGGCGCCCGGACAAACGGTGCTGCAGGTGCGCCGCGTGCATCTTCGCCACTTTTGGATGGTGGAAATCGGGCGCTCGGATCAACCCGCGCTTTCTTGCAGCTGTCGGCGATGGATGAGGACGAGGGTCCCAACGGCCGGGTCAGCTATCGGATGGTGGCGGGCGATCGGGGGCACTTTCTGCTCGGCAACAGGTAAATGCGGCATGAGGAACGTGACCTTTTCGAGGAGACGCTGCTGCCATCGGAAGAGCGCCGCGCTTTTTGTCAGCATTTTTTTCACCATAAAAATATCGCGACAACTTTTGAACTTTTTTTCCCATAATCAACAGTAGACCGCGGGTTGCTTTCAAAGATCTCTTTTTTTGTAACCGATGCCAATCATTTTTGCTTGAGTGACACCTCGCCATGGAAACGATCCTTTTCCCCTCTAAAATACCAACCGCCATATGCTTTTGAACGAAACACTTTCAAACTCGCCATTGTGATAGCTTCTAACAAACGATTTGCACGCCATTTAGTCGTTGTAGTATTTGGTCGTTCCTGTTTGTTTTGCGTTTGCAGCACCGGCATCCTGACCGTAGCATCAGGCGCGGGGCTATCGGTGGGTCGGAGCTACGCGTTGACTGTGGAAGCGACGGACAACGGAGCAGAACCTCACAGAAGGTAAGAAAAGGCTTTGCTCCGCCATTTTGGTTTTTCTTGCGCCGCGCATTCGACTTGGACCTCCCCGCTTTGCGCCGGAACCTATTTCGCCACCGAGACGTCACGAATTACGGATGCGTGTTCGAAAAGCGTTTGGGGCTGTCCAATGACAACAGAAGAGAAATGAAGAGCATTTGGCTTCTTATTTGATTTTGTTGAGGGCTACGCTTTGAGCCGTGTCGTTATTTTGACCTCCGATGACCTCGCCGGTGTCACCGGTGAGCTGGGAAAGTATCGGGGGAGTATTGGGGGGCTTGGCAGTTAGCGTGCGGCGGGCCTACCGGCGAGTCGACAAGTGAGACGCAAGCAAACGTGAACGTGCTGACGGAGGGCACGCGGAGACGCCCCCTTCGAGGGAAGGCCCGCGGCTTTGTGCGACGTCAAGCGCCGCGCTCATCGCGATGACAAAGACAAAGCCGGCGCGTGTGTGAAAAAGAGCTCAGTCGGTCGGTCATTGGGACCGCATGCGATGACTTTGCGCTATTCTTCATATAGTTGCTCTTTGTCTCAATATCTCGCGCCGCGGTCATTTGCGCCGGTAGTTTTCAAAGAAGCGGCTGACTAGCCTCGTAAGTTGAGGCGGGCCTTTTACTCGCGGCCCGGAATCGATGCGCGCACATTGAGCTCTCGGCCTCAGCGACCTTCCCAAAGACGACGTGCCGCATAACGAAGAGAAGCGCCGAGCGTCGCTACCTTGCGGGGCTTTTACGCAAATGAAGGACTACCGAGACCAAAGCTTTCCCCGAGCTTGGCAAGAGCACCTCTGCGAGGCAAAAGTTGCTCTTGTTGACTCGATCGATTCAACACTGAGCGCAAAAACAACAACAACGACAACGACCCCCAAAGCTCAAAGGGCCCATTTGCAGTCGTCTCGTGTCATCCTCTCAAGGTCGTCCGTGACAACGGTCTACATTGAAGTGTTGCCGCCCAACAACCAGAGTCCTCCGCGCTTTCCCCGCCAGCGCTACAGCCTGGAGATCAGCGAAGCAATGAGGACGGGGGCGTCGCTGCTTAACCTGCAGGTACGCACATCCGCTCCTCGCTAAGTATTCGGGACGGCCACGTTCGGATCGCTTGGGACCGAGGCGGTCGACGATGCCGCCGCCAGGCGTGCGACGAGCGCATCGCCGCGGGAAACGAATCCTAACGCTGTGGCCTTCCATCATCATCTCAGGCCACGGATCGAGAGGGGGACCCCATCGTCTACAGAATCAACCGCGGGGATCACCGTGAGCAGTTTTTACTGGAGCGCGGGTAAGCATTTGAGGCGAGCGCCTTCCGCATCGGAATGCGCGGTTAGTTTGCCTTGGGACGCTCGCTGCCCGCGACACGACAACATATTGTCAGATGCAATAGAAGAAGCCCGCCCGCCTTCATAAAGCTCCTCAGAGTGCCGTTTGTTATTCGCGCATGTTTGCGGTCGTGAAGCGAGATGGCGTGCCTTTGGGAGTGGGCTGTTGCTCATCCCATCCGTCGTCTATTTGGGGAGGCCGTCGTGTGAACGACGGCACGAGCGAAAAAGGACAATTTTGCACGAGCGACGGGCTTCACCTCCACCATTTGAAGACGTAGTCACACAACAGTCAGCGAGCGCCACTGGAGAGACAATAAGAGCTCCAAAAGATCCTTGAGTCAACGACTGCCACCTGAGAGAGCCACATACATTACCAAAGGCGCACCGCTCTATTTATTCATTTACATGTCATCAAAAATGCATCGCCACCACCAGGGAAGGTCGATTTACATTTCTCGGGGGGGGCTCAGGGAATTATATTCACAAAGAGAAACAGAGGGATGCAAATATGAAGTGACGTGCGGCGCTAATAAATAAATAAATAAATGAAGAAATACAATGATGGCCCCTCATGTTGAACAGCAGCCAGGAAGCTGAGGCGCAGGATTTAAAATCGCATTGTAAAAATATGGATTCCAAAAGGAGAAAAGGGAAGAAAAAAGCCCACGAACTGAGCACTTTCATCTCCGCGTTGGAGGAATATTGGATGGGCTTTGTCACACGTCGGACAACCACTCTTGCTGAGCTTTCGCCGTATTCTCCCATTCCGACTACAAAGGCGTGCTGTGCTGATTTGCGCTTTGGCGCCAACGCCGCGACGCCCTGCGGGGACAAACTTGCGCAATATTTTTACATCGAGCCATTTTGCAAAAGGGTTGGATTTCAAAACCCAAAATATAACATGATGCAGTGAAGTCAATACATCTTTTTTGGGGGGCGAGATAGAGTCAAGAATGACATCAGCGTGCCGCCTTGCCTCAGCCTGACAGTTTCTTCAAAAAGTATGACAAGCTGCTGCCAAAGGAAGCGCGCAACAACAACAACATTCCCCAAATGCCGCTGGGCTACCCCTCCGAACTGGACAGCAAAGCCGCTCAGTCGCCAAAGGGGCCTTTCCGCAGGAGCAAAGGTTGACACATCGAAGGCCAAGGTCGCGACGAAAAAGACCCAAACGTTGAACATAAAACGTTGCCGCTTGGCTTCTTTTCTATTTTTGCATTCGTGGCATGAATGTCGCCTGATGCGTGCGCGTTCCCTCTCTCTCAGTTCCGGGTATTTGGTCCTGGCCAAACCTCTGGACAGGGAGGCGCTGGACCACTACACCCTGGTGGTCACGGCCTCGGACGAGCGGCCCGATGGGGTAAGAACACTCGCTTCGCGTCATGAAGTATTAGCGTTGGCCCATAAAGTTTACATTTTGATTCTAGACAGGTCTGAACTGAGAAAAAAATATATATACACACACATCTATCTATAAATGTGTGGCATTGTAACATGAGTATGTGTGTGTGTGTGTGTGTGTGTAGACCTCCAGTGCGACGGTGAACATTGTGGTGACAGATGTTAATGACAACGACCCGCTGTTCGATCCTTCAATGCCGGTAAATCTGACTGTGAGCGAAAAGCAGGATCACGCATTCGTTGGACAGGTCAAGGTAGGAATTAACACACACACACACACACACACGCACGCACACACACACACACACACACACACACACACACAGACCGACACTTTGAGTGCAACTGAATTTCATCTCGCTTTCAAGGATGACCTGATGAATGCGAATGCAAAATGACAGATTGCAGTCGAGAGGAGTGGTTGTCTAATTTTGTTTTTTTTTTACACCGGCTAAAAAGTTTTTCGAGACCAAATTTCATGACTTAAAAAAAAAAAGCAAAAAAGGTTGAACATGAAAATAGAGCAATCTCAAAATCAATCGGTTCCAAAATGAACTCCGTCTGATTTGAATTGACAAAGATGAAAGTGAAGGACGTTGTCGCTATCGTTAAGAGTCAACGCAAGCTCGGGCTCCAGTTGGCATGACTTTCTTTCCAAGCATTTTCTTTGATTCTCTCCAAAAATAACAACCTTGCTCAGGCCATTTTTGGCCCCAACCGAGACGCCGCACGTTATTCCCGCACGTCTCGGCCACCTGCGAAAAGGTCAACGCCGCGACACCTCATGACAGACGCTCCGATCGACTTTCACAACGTCTCCTCCCACGCGAGTTCCGCGGAGACTCTTCATTAAATCGAGCCGCTCGCTCGCTTTTACGGCGAGGGTCGCGATCATCAACGGAAGCCCGCGCAACTTTCTAATTAGGCCCGCCAGTGGTCAGGCTCACGTCGGCGCGTTTGAAGCGAGCGCTCTTCTGCATTCGTAAACGCGGCCGCTTTGAACTTTTTCACCGGCGTGTCCGCAAACGACGACGCAAGAATTAACGTTGGCGCGACAACACCAGGCCAGCGATCCAGATCTGGGGGCGAGCGGCCAGGTTCACTACCGACTGGTCAACCATCGGACGCTTTTCTCCATCGACGCCGCGGGAGCCATCAGAAGCGCGCTGCCGCTGGACAGAGAGGTACCCGGTCGGTCACGTCGCCCGCCGCGCAAAACGGGCGCCAGCGACATTGTCGGCCTCTCGCGCCCAAGGTGAAGGCTCACTACTTTCTGACGGTGGAGGCCTGCGACGGCGCCGCCGACCCGCGGCGCTCCAGGCTGACGCTGTCGGTCACGGTTCTGGACGTGGACGACAACAGCCCCGTGTTCGGCCAACGGGCGTACGAGGCGGACCTGCCGGAGAACAGTCCCGAGGGCACCGTGATTCTCAGGCTGCGGGTGAGCGGGGCGCCGACCGACTTTGTTCACACTCGAGGGGAAAGGCTCGTCAGTCAGTCCGTCCGTCACTCTGTCACGCATTCTCCGTCCCGCCCAGGCGACCGACGCCGATCTCAACTCCAACCTCACCTATCGCATCCGAACCGACGGCTCCGGCGAGGAGATCCTCGGGCTCTTTCGCGTGGACCCCGTCACGGGAGAGTTGTCCGTGCGCAAAGTGGTGGACTTTGAGGCCTTGACGCCGTCTAATTCGTCTCACACCTTCACCGTGGAGGCCGTGGACAGCGCGGGGAGCATGCCGCCGGGCCTGGCCTCCGTCACGGTCACCATCACGGTGCGGCGCTCGCTCAACTCAACGGGGGGGGGGCGAGCGGGTGTTTTTGCGGCTGTTTACTCTTCCTCCCGCGCTGAGGCCGCGTTCGTTTCTCGGCAGGACGTGAACGACTTCGCTCCGGTCTTCGGCCGGCCGACGTACCGCGGCATGGTGGCCCCCAACGCCGTCAAGGGGACCGTGGTCGCCACGGTGATGGCCAACGACTCCGACCCCGCGGTGAGCCTCTCCCGCTTGCCGTTACTCAACCGAGCCGCCCGGGAACGGCGATGATACTGAGCGCCCCCTGGCCGCAGCTTCCTTCGCGCTCGCCGATGCGCAGACGGTCGACGGTGTTTACGCTACGCTCGATTTCTACTCGCCGTCCGGTCCGTCATTTGACTTCTCGACTTGTGCCGACTCGGCACGCGTTCGCGGCAGCTCACGTACGTGCTCATTGGGTGGCCTGGCCATAAAAATCACGGCGGCCGTACGCTTCGCTTCTGGACGTTTTCAACCTCGCAGTCCGAAGCCACTTGACAACTTGATTTAAAGCGTGCGTACGTGTCGAAAGTGGGGCCTGTCGACTCAACAAAATGGAAGGAAAAAAAGCCCAAAACAAAACAAAAGAGCGGTTTCCCACTGATGCGGCGAACGAAAGTGGGTACAGTGGAACAGGAAGGCCCCAGCCAAGATACTTGCCCCCGAGCCCCCCTAACTGCGACTCGATTGACCCCCACTAACTCATGACACCCACCCTTGAGCCATGAACGCTTCATTTCAGGTTGAGGTCAGGCGACCCGGGCCACATGAATCTCTCACTTTGTCAGCGGGGCGAACCGTTTGATTTGGCGCGCGGCCCGCGCCGATTCCCGTCGAACGCCGCGGAATCCAATTGTCGCGGCGACATCCCGATTCATTCTTTGCACGCGGAATTTGGGCGAGGCAAACCCAAGCGCCGCTTCTCGCGTCCGCAGGGAACGGCGGCCGGCCTGGTGCGCTACAGAGTGGACCGGGGGGCCCATTCGTACTCGGCCAGCATTTTTGAGGTGGAGGAGCACACGGGCAACGTCGTCACCAGAGTCAACCTCAACGAGGAGCCCAACCTCAAATTCAACGTAAGTCGAGCCGAGTCCGATTCAAAGTATGTTCTGGGTAGACTGCGCTCTTGATGGCCACGCGGGTGCGTCACGTGGTCATTTGGAAGCCCTCAAGTCCTCACGGCCCACCGCACGAGCGCGCGCTAGCTTCCCGCCAATGCAAGTGGCCTTTTCCAAGCGGTCGTCAGTAGCGGGGCTCCGGCCGACGCAAATGGCATCTTTTCGCCGGGCTCGAATGAACCGCAAGAGATTCCAAATCCTCTCGGCTCTCCCGAACCGCTCAAACATTGCGCAATTATGACTGAGAACGCCACCCGAGATACAAGGGCTGAAGGCTTACCATTTTAAGAATGGGATCTTTGCTGCCAAAACGGAGAGCGCCTGAAGAAAAAAAGCCCCAAACCAAACCAAACCAAACAAAAAAAGTCAATCGTCTGACAAGGTCCCTCGGCTCGTGCGGCTCAATTGATCATTTCCAACGCGGACCAAACGCGCCTTCTAAACTCCTTGTAAACAACCCTTTCAAACGACCGGCGTGGCGACTTTTCAAACCCTCCGTGTGCCTTTGCCAGCTGCTGGTGGTGGCCTACGATGACGGCGAGCCGGTGAAGGAGAACACCGCCATGGTGGAGATCACCGTCCTTCAGCCCTCCGTCATTCCCATCTTTACTCGGGAGGAATACAGGTACGCCAAACCCAGGGAGCGATTCGTTTGCCCGAGGATATACCGATCGACCTTTTGCCATTTGGATGGCCTTCGGCTCGACGTACGGAGCGCGCAGGCGTGAAAGCTACGGACGCGGTTCGTTCAGGAAGTAGCGATGGCGACATTTGGCCGCTAAATGCTTATGGCGGCAAGAAACAAGTTTGCAAACGTGGACGCCGGACCCGAGAGGCTAATCGGCTTCGTGCGAACAAGGACGAAGGGAGCGGCAACAACGGAGATGGATTTCAAATGGGGACCAGAGAGAAAGAAGCGCTTTGCTTCCGCCGTTGGGCCGGCCGGCCGGCTACGGCGCGGGACGCTTTAAGGCGTTAAACTAAGTTCTTTGAAGGTCAAAAAGGTCATTTCAAGGCAGCTGTCACGACGATGGAAAATCACGTGCTGGGCCGTTGATGTGCGGCTGCATCGTTTGGAACCTGCGCACGTGTGAGAGAGAGAGAGAGAGAGAGACTGCGCACACTATTGGAATGAATTATTGAACAGAGGCTTGCTTGCCTTTGCACCATTGTGCTTTTAAAGGCTTACTGACGCAGCCTAATGAATTTGTATGCGTTTGAGAGCGGCAGCCCCAGAGCCGCGGGCAAGGCTGAATCCGTCTTATCGATTTGTAGACTCAACGGAAGACTCGCCGTGAATAGGAGGGAAGCTGGGCGCGCGACGCGTCATCTGCTGCGAAGCGGCGGCGCTCTCCCGTTCAGAGTTCGGCCTAAAGGGCGAGACCAAAAGCATTCTGCCGTACATAACTGTCCCAATAAAAGACCCTTCGCTTGGGTCGGTTACAGGTTGGCGTATTGAGTGACTGACTCTGAACTCAAGCATTGGCGACCGCAAATGACTGACCACTCGTCTCCACTGCTGACCAAAATGACAAACGGACCACACAACGTTTTCCGCGGCCTCTCATGCGCCACGCTCACCACGGGAGCGTCCGTGCACCCGCGCCGTCAGTACGCGGTCCGCGTCACGCCCACACGAACGGCGGTGAACGCAGCCTACCGGCAATTAGCGGTGGGGGGGGGGATGAAGTCAATTTGTACAACGTGTTGCCTCAATCTCCGTCCCCTTCACACGGTCTGAGAGCGGAGTCACGTTACGACATGAAACCGAAACGACGGCAAGGTCAACAAAGTTGCCCCCAAGGGAGCTTCGGGCGAGACGTAAATCAAGTACAGGAGAGAAAGAGGGAAAACTGTCAAGAGGAACATCAAGCATGAGGACGACGGATCAGAAGGACAAGCTCGGAGGCGAACAACATCGTCAGCGAGACAATAAGAAAGACATGGGCAGAGATCCGCCTTATCATTGCCGACATCGAGATCGTTGTTCAGTCTGCGCGGGCACCTCATAACGCCAAGACAAAAACGAAACAAACAAGAATAGGGGCTCGTATCTCCAAATTCACCCGCCACGTGGTTTTTAATTATCGGATGTGACTTTTCAAATTTCATCCGCGCGTTATCAGCGCAAAGGCAGCTTGCTGCAGCTACTCAGTGCGCTCCGTCTGGCGTCAAACACCGCGCGAGCGCAGCTCGTCGGAACGCAGGCGCGCTTCAAATGGTCCCGGCGCTCTCGGCTTTTGGCAATTAGAGGCGGCGGCTGAAGGAGGAAAGGAGGCGGCGATAGCAACTCCCGCCCGAGTCTGTCGGGACGCAGGAGGACCCCAACGCACGTCGATCACAATGGGGAAGACCGAGGGAAAAAAACGAGTTGCGGACGGGAAGCCGAGTTCAAATGCGCAGATTCCACATTGGATGAATGCCATCGACTCTTTCACCGGCTAACTGGAATTCTTTCGAGGGTCGCGTCACTTAACTGACAGTTTGCGATGGCCGCGCACCATCTTCACTTCCAAGATGAGGACAAAGCGCAGGAAAAGGCTCGGTTGGGCCCGCCGGGGTCATCGAAAATTGGAGATCTCAAGATTTGGTCAATTTGGTCAAGCGTGTGCTAATTCACTGCAAACAAAAAAAACTCTCCAAATTGCTTTTGAGGGAGTAGAAAATGCAAACGCCCGTTTGGCAAAGGACAGCCTTTTGGGACAAATCGACTTGACTGCAGCTCACCATATTCAGAGGGAGCCACGAAGGAGGGAGGGGGGGGGGGGGGCCCTTGGAAGTACTTGACAGATTTGAAATCTCCGCCGATTGCGGGCGAGCCTCCGGAGGAAAGAGAAGGCCCCGGCTAACGCGTCTCCATATTTTATGCGGCTCAAGGCAGCTGTCGTTCGACTGATGTGTTCCCAGGTTTCCGCCCGTGAGCGAGGAAGCTGCGGTCGGAACCCCGGTGGGAGTCATCCTGGCTGCTGCCGTCAATCAAACCATCGTGTACTCCATCGTGGAGGGCAACCGGGGAGGTGAGCGCACGCCCGAGCCTCGATGCGGCCGCATGGCTCATTTGCATGAGCGCTCACCCGGCCATCGAGTGGCTCCCCGGGGCTTTATAAAAAATGTTTGAGACTAATATCGCTCAACGAGATATAGAAAAACGTTCCAGCTCCGAAAAAGCTGCGGCGTTGTTTTTTTTAAAAACGTCCACTTTAGTGATGCTTTTAACAGTCTCGACAAACACAGACACGTCTACTTCCGACTCCTCTCTTCAACTCGAGAGGCGTTCAAAGACAACCTCCGAAAAACACAAATCCGGGATCACTTTACTGACACGAAGAAAAGCGAAAATAATGCACCAAAACCAAAAAAAAAAATCAAGCGAGGAAATCACAAAATCAATTCTACGGGCGCGTTTGTGAACACACAACAAAGGAATGAAGAACAAACAATTCAGAGTCTCCTACATACGTACGGCATATTTGTTTTTCGTCCTATCTGGCTCTTTCAACATTTTGGTTTGCGGACCCCTGCGTTAAGCGCAGGCGTGTCGGCGACAACTTTTGACTTTCTGTCGCCGGCGACTTGGCGCATCGCTCCCCTATTTCCTCCGATGGAGGCGGCAATTTACATCGGGGAGTCACGGGTTGCCATTGGTACAGAGTAGATGACTCTGGTGGCCATTCAAGTGCCGGAGCCCCTCCCAACCTATTCTCTCCCTTGCAGGTGCGTTTGCGTTAAACAATGAGACGGGCTTAATCTCCACAGCCAAAGCGCTGGACTACGAGGCCAACTCCAGCTACGTTCTCAAGGTCCAAGCGGACTCCATGAGGGTGGTCTCCTCCAACCTGCGAGCCCCCTCCAAGAGTACGTGAGTTCCTCGAGACCCGGCGGCCTCCTCTGAGGCGGGACGGCGAGCCGCGGCCGGACGGGACAAGAACGAGCCGGCGTCCGTTCGCGTGTCAGACATTGCGGCCATTTTCGCACTTTGCCAGCCTTGGTGGCAACGAAGGCTGGCAAAGTGCGAGCAGAGCCTCGTTTGGCCCGGGCGCCGCCCATCGGTTCGGTACGATGACAAGGACGCCGTCGGTACAAAGCAGACGTGGGAGGACATGTCTTAGCCCGCGACGCGACGATCAAATCAATAGCATTTGCACGTTAGCCACCACTTGCACACTTCCCATGTTTCACGGTCCCAAGCCGGCCGGTCTCTGGATGTTTCGGTCGCGCACTTTGGTCTCAATGAAACACGCGAGTGACATACGTCCGAGTTGACGCGTGCGTGACCCGACCCGCTCTCGGCTAGCTAAAGCGCGGCGCAGGCTTACCTTGTCTTTGTGGGATGAAGTTCCACGCCGCCGCCGTCGTCGTCGTTGTCGTCTCTTACTTTGAGTTGCAAAACTTGCCGCTTGCTTGACTTTTGCCCCCGAAAGGCTTCATCCTTGATCCCAAACGAACGCCGTCATCTTGGGCGCTCCTTCCGCGCTTGGCGAGGTGTCCTCGGCGCTCCTTACGGTAGCATCCCGGTCGCTTGCCAATAGTCCTTTCTGGTGCGCGACAAGGGATCTGGAGGGGAAAGAAGAAAACAAAACGTGTTATCGACACGCCAATGTCAAAATCCACACGGCACATTCACATCGGCCATCATCGCTTTCATGTCCTCTATGTTGCCACATCACCATTTCGGATGGGACGAGGCTTGACTCGTGGGAATCGGAAACGCCGCACGTGTGACCGTCGCTTTTGAATCTTGTCAACGAGTCAAGGCCGCGAGTTCATCTTTCGCGTCTCTCCCGCACGCGTGCTTTCTTATGGCAGCGCGTCGCGACGTGAACAATGCTCAGTTGCGCGCAGATCCTCATCTATGCTAATGAACAGATGTCTTCGCATACTCAAGCCTCATTGACGGTAATTTATGCCGGGAGACATCGCCTTCTCTGTTCGGGAAAAAGCCACAAGGACAAAGAGAGAGTAAAATGGCCATTTCAAAAAACGGCCCTCCCTGATATTTGACACGAAAAGCAAACGCTTGCTTGCGGTGGCATTTTGGCTTCGGACCAAATGTAAACATGCCTGCGTCGTCACCTTTGGGCACGACAGGCCTATTTTGCCCACAGCCTTTAATGCGATCTTCCTTGCCAGCAGGCATTTCAAAGTTTGGAAAATCCGAAGCCTTGCCTTTTTGGTTTTTTCTTTCTCCCTCCCCCTCTGTCAGATATCAGGTCGCGCCACAGGCATCAACGGAGGCTTATCTTTTAAGGTGACGAGTGACCAAAACGTCCGAGTGGGACGAGATTGGCTTTGAAACGTCTTCATCGGTCACAGCGCCCTCGCTCGATAGCGTTCTCCGTCGTGCCGCTCCTGATATTTGACACGAAAAGCAAACGCTTACGGTGGCATTTTAGCGCCCTCGCTCGATAGCGTTCTCCGTCGTGCCGCCCGTCATTCTTATTCCCAAGTCAATTCAGCGCGCGTGCCTTTCAGGTAACACGGCCGTGGTGGTGATTGACGTCCAGGACGAGAACGACCACTCTCCGGTTTTCAGCACCTCTCTTTACATCGGAGGAGTGGCAGAGGACGCCAAAACGTTCACTTCCGTCTTGCAAGTGCAGGTACCGCGACGTCGACGCTTCGGCACGGGTAGACGGGCAGTGGAACAATACTTAAGAGGGATAGATTCTTTATCCTTTGCCAAAAATGACTTTGTGCGGTGACTGAGTTAAAGTGGCCGCGAAAGGACAGACCCCGACCCCGACGCTTTCGCGGCCACATCTCCCTGCCGCGATTGTGACGAGGGGGCCGGAACAGGGTAGGAAGTGGATCTAAATCACTCCCGTCCTCCGAAATTGCATTCGCAAGATATTCACTCGAGTCACGAGCGGATGAATGGACGGAGCCGGTCGGGCCGGCGCGTGGATGATTCGTGACTGGAGGAGGGAGGCCGCGGCACGAAAGAGGCTAAGTGCTACAAAGGACGAAGGGAAGCTTGAGTCTCAGCATAAATATAGGGGACCTTTGCAAATCGACCTTTTTTGTCGGAACCAAGTCAGAAGCTGTCGACGGTTTGCCGAGCACTTGACATTTCGTCGCCTTTGACTCTTCCTTGAAGCGCTAAAAGCCTTCTAAAGCTCAGCAGGCTCCAACAGAAAGCACTCTCCATCAGCTTTTGAGACACAACCCCCCCCACAACATCTGAGCGCATGACAATCAACACCTCAAAGCTTCGGGATCTTTTGTGTCTATGATTACCCGGAGGCGAATTCAGGCTTTTTCAGATCGCGTCATGAAAGAGGTGTCGTCTTCCAGGCCTTGGACAAAGACACCGGCAACTACAGCTCCGTGACGTACCGCCTCATCGACGCCCCCTCGGCCGGGAAAGACGCCAAGGACAGCAAAGACGGCTTTGTCATCGAGTCGCTCAGCGGCGTGCTGAAAACGGCCATCGTGTACCGCAACATGCGACGGTCCTACTTCAGGTTCGAGGTGGTCGCCACGGACGACTATGGGCGAGGACGCAGCAGCAAGGCGGAGATCGTGGTGAGTGTTTTCTCCAAAATGCCGGCTTTGGAGTGGCGCCGCGGAGTGGACGGAAAGAAGTATTGGGCCGTGCGGGCCAACCCGAACTAAGTGAGCGGGGCCGTCCCCGTTCGCTACTTGTGCGCATTTCACCCGAGGTTGCTTCATGCTAAGGCCCGGCACCATTTGTCATTTGCAGGTGTCGGTGGTGAACCAATTGGACATGCAGGTGGTCGTGTCCAACGTGCCACCCACGTACGTGGACCTAAACAAAGACAAACTGCTCAGGTAACGACTCCTGTTGAGCTTGCGGAGCGTTTCCCCGTGGTTATTTGACAACAACGGGCGGGATCTGGCCGTCTGTTATTGAAGTCCGCTCACCGTCGACTTCTGGAACGCGGGCCCGAGCCGGCGCTACATGATTGCGGCGATACTAAAATGGCACCCAGCAACTCTACGGTGGCAGCTTAGTTTTGCGGGGACGGGAATCACCGTTGCGCGGCAGGCGGTGTGCCCTTGCTTTCAGTGTTCTAAATAGTTTTTGGGGGGCGGGGGGCCATCGCGCGTGGGCGCGTGCCACTTCATTCTGCCGACACGAAAGCCGTCCGCTTTTTCCTCGCCAGCGTTTTGGAGCACTACGTCGGGGAGCAGATTCCCGGAGCTCGGGTTTTCGTGGAAGCTATCGGTCCCCGCCGTCACGGGGACGGACTGGAGCAAGATGACTACGCCAAATCGGACCTGACGATTTACGCCATCGACCCGCTGACGAACAGGGCCGTCTCCAGGCAGGAGCTCCACAAGTAAGAAGCACGCCAACTGAGCGAGAAGCGCGCTTGATGTGAGCGCCACTTTTGGAAATGGGCATTTGCGTGCGTTTGGCAAGGTTTCTTGACGGGAAACTGCTCGACATCAACAAAGCGTTCCAGCCCTTCATGCCCCCCGGAGGGCGCATTCTGGAGATCCGAACCCCGGAAGTGGTGACCGGTGTGAAGAAGGCCGCGCAGACGGTCGGCTACACAGAGGGGGCGCTGTTGGCCCTGGCGGTCATCATCATCATCTGCTGCGTGCCCGCCATACTCATCGTGATCATCACCTACAGGCAGTAGGCGCACCTTATTTTACATTCGCCGAGTCAATGAATCTGCGTGCCTCAACTCAATCGTATACACACACACACACACACACACAGGTATACATTCCGGGCCCAAACGCAATCGGTGAAAAATCCGTAAGAGATCATTTTGCGCCAACATTTTCTATCGTTTACCCCTTCAAAGTACACTTCATTGGAACTTCTTCAAACTCATTTGCTTAGCACATGTCCGCACTCTCCTCTCTTGGAGACGTGTATAACATCACTTTGACAAAGTTGGCCAAATTCTTGCCTTGCTGTTCCCTTCTTTCCCAGTTTAGTTTTACTGTGGAACTCACCCCCCCGAAAAACAAAAGAGAATCCAACTTTGCATCTGTAAACCAAACCTGTAGTTGCCAGCAGTTTTGTCTCACCAGCGCGCTCTCGCCTAATGCCAACGCCTAACATGAAAGGCCACGAAGAAGCGACCAGAAAGTAGCATCGAGGTTGTGGTCATTCTCACCCTTCAAACAACTGCTCCTCGAACACACACAGAACAGCAACACATACTGTACAAACAGAGCACATCCTCTTCACAAATGAAGATAATTAACTGAGAGCGGCGCTCACCTAGCGTGGTGATCACGTTATTTTTATTTATTTTTTTTTACTTCATTACAACTCCAACTTGGAACGTTTGTCCCCGATATTGGTGTGCTTGATGCTTCAAAGATTCACTAATCTGTCTCTCTGTCACTCTCTCCATGTTTCTCCACTGAACCGCTCATCGGCAGATTTAAAGAGTGAGTCCAGTTTTTCATATGTTCACGCTAAAGCACTCGTCACGCCGGTTTTATCGCTAGGAATGAAAAAGAAAGAAAGACAGAAAACCTGTCGATTTGAAATTGCATATTTGCAGGCTATCGTGTGTCTGCCAAGGCAGCAGGGGGCGCTGTAGCCCCCTAATGGTCACAATCGTGACATGACAAATTGGGAGAAAGAATGACAATTCGCTTAACGTGAAAACAAGCATACTCAAGTCAGGAGATGCAAACTGTAGCGCGACATTTGAAACGCAAAGTCGTGGTACCTCTCTTTTTTTTTTCACCCGATCGAATGCTCCGGTTTACGGCCGTATTATCACGAGGCAACGACAACAGAACTTCTTGGCTGAAATCGCCGTGCCGAGTGCCACGATCGCGATCGCCCCCGTCGCAACGGATGATGTCGGGGGGGGGGGGATGCTTCAGATCTCTAACTCTCTGCTTTCCTCCGCAGACGGCAAGAAGAGTGTGCCAAGACCGCCCGCATCCAGATGGCGCTGCCGAGCGGCAAACCTGGAGGGGGCGTCGCCAACAACTTGTACGAAGAGCTGGGCGACAACGCCATGTAAGTGTCGACAAGAGCTTTCACATTTTCATTTGGGGGGGGGGTCTGAATCCCATTTAATTGGGGTGTCATTTCACTGTTGACCACTAGATGGTGGCACACTCTATTTCAAAGAATGAAAAATTCAGCTCTGTCTTGGTGAGCGCGCCTCGGAAAAGCTTGCACAGTCCAAACGTGCGCGGCGCAAGTTTGAACGGACTTTCCGAGGCGGAAGCCGGCGCTTTGGAAGTTTGCGGTTTGGTTTTTGCCTCGCAAAGGGATTCAGAAAACAGCGGCGAGTGCGTTCAATCGGTCGCTCGCCAAAAGGAAACCTGCAAACTCCCAGAGCACGGTGATCCTTCACTACTGTCGTCGATAGTCGTGCTCCGCTAGCTTCTTTGTAGCGCCGCTTTCAGCCCCCAGCATTTGCAGTCTTCACCTCTTAGCCGTGACGTCCATTCCAACAGGATGCCGTCCGTCTTCTCTAGCCCCCACACGCCCTATCCTAACTCCCAGAGTCCTCTGACGTGAATATTGCTCCATATTCTTGTGGCAACGCCATCCCCTCCATCTTTCATTTCTACTTTTTCCTCCCCTTCGCCCTTCGCCCTCACCCCAGCCGTCGCGGCCGCGGCGCGGGAAGTTTGGACGAAAGCGATCGCCAACGACTGATCTCCGATTTCGCCACCCGAGCGATCGCGGCCCATCGGCAGTGCGTGGCTAACGGCGGGGTGCTCAACAAACTTCCCAAGTCCGAGTCCAGCATCACCTTTCTGTCCGACGAAAACCCCCTGACCATCCAAAATCCCATCTACCACGAGGACGGAACCTTGAGCAGTCCAGAGACTCTTGGGCGCAGCCAGAGGAGGAGGGACCTTCTCGGGCACTTCTCGCCCTCCGGGAGAGGTCTTCGGGAGGCCTGGTTGAGGATCAGCTCCCCCGGAGGAGACACGGGATTCAGCGGGCGCAGCGGCAGCGACAGCGGGAGGGGCTCGGGGGGCGGCCACAGCTGGACCCTCCCTTCCAGGCTACATCGCAGAGAGACCTACGACGCCTGGAGGAGGCGAGTGGTGATGGATCCCGTGCAGTGGGAACTGGAGCTCCTGAAGGCCCGATTCAAAGAGGGCAAAGACGCCGGCCTGGATGCGGGCTTCGAGCGCGGCTCGGAATGCGATGGGATGGTGAGCCTGGGCCTGCAACCCAAGCTGACGGTGAAACAACAGGCCCGCCAGTTTGAGCAGCAGGCCGCGCAGGAAATGAGGCAAAAGCTGCGGGCGTCTCTGTCACCCGACGTCCCGCTGCCCGCTTCGGCCGACTCCCCTCGGCATCCCGAGTGCATCTCCGGCCCCGGCGTTTCAAACGTCCAGCCGAGAGAGAGTCCCCCGAGTATCGTCGTCACCCAAACGGACGGCGGCACGCCGCCGCCGAGCCGCAAGCCCACCCCGCCTGTGTTGCGTCGCTTCGGGGCGGGTCTGACGGAAAAGCAGAGTCCGGAAGACAGACTTCAGGTGCATTCGGACATGATCCCCGATCCCCCTTGCACTCCGCCGCCACCTCCCC